GAGAGAGAGAGAGAGAGAGACCTGGTAGAGCAAGTTAGGCGGTGGGGTTTGATTGTGAAGTGGAGGAGTGGGAGACGAGGGGCCCTCCGACTGGTGGAGCAGTTGGTGTTGCCGGCCAAGTCTCCGGCGGAGCTTCTGCCGCTCCCTGGCCTTGTGATTTTGGAACCAGTAGAACACATTTTTTCCCTCGATCCTGCCATAAAGGGAGAGGTGCGCCGTGATCTGTTGTATTTGAGAGGCATTCGGGGTTCTCACCCCGCTCCTGTACATCTCCTCCAGTATCATCAGCTGCTCCGGCGTCGGACACCACCTCGTCGAAGGAGTCTGAGGCATCTCTCTATACCCACTCCTCTCTCCTATCCCCCACTGCCTCTTTTTCTGGCTTCCTCAGGTACCTTTAGGTTTTAAGTTATATAGAGATAGGGCTGTAGGTTTGTGGGTGTATGTGCAAGAGAGGTAGCGAGGAGGAAGAGACAAAAGGGATTTGGTAAGGAGACATTGGAGGTGCAACAGTGAGCAAGGGGAAAAAAGAGAGGGGAATTCTGTCATGCTGATGTTCTCAGTTCTTCACAGACGCATTCATTGACGAGTTGAATGCTTTCTCTTTTCTTGTCTTCATTTTTACTTCTTTTAGGTCCTTTTCTGTGCATGTAAGGAATCAGAAAGACGGAGAGAGAGAGAGAGAGAGAGAGGGTGAATGAGAGAGAGGTGGCAGGTGCCATTAATGAGAGGGAATGACACGGAGCTGGTGTTACATGCCTGTTAGTCTAACATTCTGATTGGATGTTAATCAGAATGTGATGATGACATACATCACTCGACTCCCTTAAGGAAACTTCCCCTATAGGGATACAGCAATCATCTCAGCATATAAATGGACACAAGCAGGTGACTTGTGACAAGCAACTATCATTTTCAAGTAGACAGCAAAAGAATTCCATCCAATCCAACCATCCAATGTGTCTCATCTCGATCATTGCCATCTCCTACGCAAAAGAAGGGATCTTTTTCCCGGCACTTAATGGCCTACTGAATGGAACAAGTGGCACCAACATGGTTGGAAACCTTCCCTCACCCCCCACCACTTTCTAGCCTGGATAACCATGTCAATAATGCTCCCATAAAAGTGGGGTGTTAATCCACCACCTATACACACACACACACACACCTTACGGTTCTTCGCGAGGTGTACAGAGAGATCCCTACTCTTCCAGCTTCTCATCTCTGGATCTCAAACTTCCGTAACAAAGACGTTCATCATTGTCTTTCTTCCGAGAACTTTAATTTGAGAACCGTATTTACTGTGATTTTTTTTTCTGTAAGTACGAATCTGCATGTCATGGATCAGATGCTGCATAATGTTGTCCTCATGGAGACATACAGAAACTGGCAAGATATCAACATTCCGGTCCTGCATTGCTCGTCTCGGAGCAACTGTAGTGAATTGAAAGGGATTTCACTGCATACGAAGTTGCAGTGCTGTGCAAGGACAAGTCAATTTTGCTGTCATAATGGAGGAGCTCCTCAACAGGTCATCTTCTTCTTGCGAACATGAATGCTTGCAGGAGATAATGGCGATCGCGATGAGTTCATTGGCTAGAAATAGCTACGATAGTTGTTCTCAAACTCCTATTAAAGTTGGTGTACCTTCGCAAAGCTAATGCAGAACTTTGTGGCATCTCATATAGCTAAGTTCAGCACGCAGCTTCAGTACTCCACCTTGTAACTGTAGCGCGGAAAGGATCTCTTCGGAGGACGTACTGTTCTTCTAAGCTGGTAAAATCTGGTAAGAAGCTAAAGGATACTTAGTTAAGATATCGAAAAGCTACCTGTTTATCTTCTTTGCATGAATTCAGGATGATAGCTTCTTTACATACGTTTTGCGTATTCCGTACACATCAAGTGTTTGCATGCTGAGATAATTAAGTTCTTCAGAATATACTCTTCTTCCTTTTCCATCGATCAAAATTGTCAGGCACACTTTTGTTGCAAAAGAGACAATATCTGCAACCCTAACCAAAACAAAGCCACAAAAGATTCATTCTGTAGTTTAACTTTTCAGGTCCTTGGAAGAAGAAGTTGATGTTGGGGTGTGCAGCAATTTCTTCACCTGATATCTTATGTTATAGCAATCACATAAAACTCAGTATTAAAAGCATATTCTCCTTGCACAATTCTCCATGAATGGTAGGAAAAAGTTGACCAAGCTTTCATGGAATAGAAACTAATTTGATTGCAAAGAACTAACTAGCAAATAAATGAGTCTGGGCATGGGAAGCAGAATGTTAAAAAAGTATGAGAAGTCTACATCATGTCTGAAGAAACGAATTCAAGTTGTTATCTATTATTCTCTTTCTACCTTCCTTTTTATTTGATGCACTGACAACAAAGGTAGTCAACTGGTGTCAAGAAGCTGGATCAAATTGCTTTCTAGAGATCTTCTTTCTTGTCGGTATATGTACACATCAATTTCTTTGATTAATCTAATATTATCAGTCATATCTGATTCAGATGCTAGATTTCACTTGTCTATATTAATCCAGCTCCAAATCTCTCTAAAAATCTGCCTCTAGGACAAATATTTACTCACCTTGCAACTTGTAGTAAATAAGCATTGATGTGAAAGAGGAAAGAGATACATATGTGCATGCATTAATGTTTGATCTATCCAAATTTTGGATTGTGGGTGGAGGAAATGCGATTGATGGACATATAAGAGGTGGCAGGGAAGTCAATATGCAGTAAGTACCAGCAGCAATGAAGGTGTTCAGTAGGGAGGGAGGAAAAGAAAGAGTTGTGTGCAGTAGGGGATCGAAGGTGATGTGACCTGTCCCTCATCATCTCTTAAATCATCTCATTCTCTACTCTCATACGCCACCCCTCTCTCTCCCACAACACTGCCGCTGCTGCCGCTGCCACTACTGCTGCATCTCTAAACCTTTTGTCTCTACCGACAACAATCCAAGCGAAGTCTCTCCATCCCCATTTAAAGGGAAACAGTCGGTGGCAAGTCCTCGAGACCCCCAAGAGATCCAAACACCTTCAACACGGTTCAGCAACTGATGAGATCAGTGTTAGCCGCTGCAACTGTTCTCGTTATGTTATCAGCCATATGACTGGGCTGAAGTCAAATTTATTGTACTGATCAGGAAAGATACATCACGGCAACCAAAAATTGTCAGAGAGGCCGGAGAGGGTTCTGCTGGGTGTTGACCAGAATGCAGCGTTGTCTCTTGTTCGGAGATCCCATCGGGTTCTATGTGGGTTTGACCGAGATCTTCTTCGTTTGTGTTGGGAACCGTTCCTTGGATCGTACTCTGCTTTCTCTACATGTCTCTTGAACTGTCTCATGCACACTGACACACGCCCATGTACACCAAACGAGATCAACTATAGCTCCCATGAGAGTTCCTGCTCGTCATCTTGGATCGAGATCGAGTTGTGCCGACGGATTATAATTAGACTGTAAGAGTCTGCACGAGCCCCATCCTGAGAGTATGGTGCAGCAAGAATCATAAGATCTCCAAAGCCCAGGGAGTACATGAACACTAGAAATCACAGAGGAGGATTTAAATCACAATCTGACATCGATTATATAGTCTGCTGAGTTGGGGTGGTATAACAATATGCATCATTTGGATATCATCTGAAAGGGAAACAAAATTATGGACTGGTTTTAGTCCATATAGTGTAATAATATAAACTATGATTACGATAGTATTTGCTCCTATAAGTATTTTTTCAGGAATAATTTATGAATGCTGAAATATGTATGTATGAACAAGGAAACAACCCTATGTCGTTGCCACAGGGCCTACAAGTCATATTTTAAGAAAGGAGAATGAAATCTATCAAAGAATGCAGAGCGGCATTGTGGTAACGACATCATATATATATATATATATATATATATATATATT